AAAATGAAAGGGGGGGCAAAAAGCCTGATTAAAGAGGACAATGATGACCACTGAGCTCCTTTGTCACAAAACATTTACCATTTTTATATGTTGTTGTGTAGGCGTATCACTATGATGTCTGTAAAGATGTCGGTAGAACTCCAGCTGTTTACTAATATAAACAGCCACCAACCCAGCTATTGGTTGTTATATTTAAAGTAGAAGATTAAAATTAAATTGATTTAACCTGATGGACAGCCTAGAAATCAAAACAAAACAAATCCAGCAAAAAACCACGAGGGGGCGATACCGCTGGATCTAAAGACAATGGCTTAAATTGAAGTGTTTGGTTAAATTTTAATAAACTATTTCTAATGTTTTCATAACTGCAAAAAAGATCAAACATGCTCAGAGGGGCTTGTTGTTCCCAATAACTGCTGTCATATCTAATTTCATAGATTATCATGTCATCAATGTAAATTATGAATTGATTTAAAATAAATTAGATGAGGACGGAGCATATTGCTGCGTATTTGTGTGTGATTGACAGCCTGTCCATACAAGCGTGATGGCAGGATGTGTTAATGGTTGTTATTCCCCCATTGATTTAGAAAATGATTTTGTCTTTGTTGCAATCTACAGTATATTTGATGCGTCCTTCGATGTTCCTGTGAATTTAAAAAAAAAAATTGCTGCAGTCAGCTACAGTCACTTCCTGATGTTGTCACCTTCAGCTTTTATATCATTTGCATCAGCTTCTCCTCAATCCTTACATTCTGTACTGCATATCTTCCTCTATACATCAGCAAGAAGAAAATAACCTCCAAGTGCACTCCAGGGGAAGTTGTAGTTTTAGACTATATAAAAATGAAATTACATTTCCAACCTCAATTGTTACCAGATATAGTCTATATGGCTGTCATTCAAATGCATGAAGCGAAAAGCCAATAATAGATTAGTATTTGATTTTCTTATTCAGACATATTTTTTCCCAGTGAGCCTCATTTGGAGAAAAGTCAGTCTCCTGGGTCTGGGTCTGTCTGTAGATGAAACTCAGTCTTATTTCACTCTGTTTACCACCGCTGAGTTTAGTTCGACACCGTCAGCTTTCCAGAGATGAAATGCTGCGCTGCAACATTTAAGCCAGTCAGACCGAAAACGCACCTTTTCACATCTTATGTGCTTTCGTCATGTCAGATGAGGAGCTTTCTTCTATTCTCCCCCTGAAGGAGCACAGGTCACGGGGGAGACATCAGGCACTGAGAAAGTGCTGAAATGATTACTTTCACCACTTTCTGTCTTGTTTATGTGCAGAGACTCCAGACTCTAAAGCCCATTTCAGTCAGTGTGAAAGGACCACAGAAGATCTGAGACGTACTTACACTTGAAGTCTCTTCAGCATCAAAGAATGCTGTGGGGCCTCCACAGCAAAACGCTGTCAAACATTTGTAAAATGAAAAGAATCTGACAAAAAAAGTTAAGCACCGAGGAAATGTGATTCAGTGAAGCAATCACAGCTTCACCCGTGCATGAAGACGGTATTAGGCATTAGTTTCTCAAGTGTCAGATGTGCCAGGATGAGTGCAGCTCCTTTTTAATTTTCAAGATCAGCTTGGTTTCACTTCAAAGTGAGCTTCTTTTCTGCTCTCCAATCTCACTGTCCAGCCGACAGAGCTCAGCGATAAGACCCAGAAATCAGATGTTGATATTTCTCTGCTAAATCATAGTATACCATATATGCTGCATGTCATGACAACATAGACATGTATTTCAATTAGGTCAATCAAATAAGATAAAGAACAAAGGAAATAAAGTATTATTGGTGGAAATTTAAATAATTTTCATTTCTTTGGCTGAAAGGGGTTTCTCTACAACCAATCGTTGATTCAGACTACAGCTATGTTGTTTAAACAAGTAGATTCAATGTTGTTCTTGTTGGTGTCCTGTGTTTGTTAACTTATGTCGACAATTGATATTGAGATAAATCAATATCCCTGGATATGACTGAAAATTATTTTTCTGTAAATTGCTGGAGCAGATGAGACAAATAACAGCAGGTAGATGTCTGTGTTTCACACTTTTGTTTTTGTTTTTTTATTTGTGACTAATCCAAAATGATTGGATTTTTAACATGGATAAATGCCAAGATAATATGCAAAAGTCTGACTCGAAATGTCAGCTTCACAGAGTTGGTGGATTTTAACCATTACTCTCCATCTGGTAATTAATTATACAAAGAATGACGGAAATAGTATCTATGTTACATTTGCAAAATGTAGCTATTTTTTGTTTATCATGTTTTTATTAAAATTGATCAACATGACAATTAGTAATTTAAAGGTAAATTATTTGTTTCTGTTTTACACAACCGGTCATAAAAAAACATGGAATGGCTTCTCTTTTTCAAACTAGTAATATGAGTTTTTTCTTTTCTTTTATGTTCCCAAAGACTTATAGATACTTATAGATCTGTGGGTTTTAGGTGTGTATCAATTATCAACACCATCTTCCTCTCCATCTGTCTCCCAGAAGGCTGTGCTGCACCTCGACTAGGATGACAGGAAAGACTCTGACCAGCAACGTAACGAACAAGAATGACCCACGTTCCCTCAACTCTCGTGTCTTCATCGGAAACCTCAACACAGCCGTAGTGACCAAGGCTGACATTGAAGTCATTTTTGGAAAGTACGGGAAGATAGTGGGCTGCTCTGTCCATAAAGGCTATGCCTTCGTCCAGTACGCCAGTGAGAGGAACGCCAGAGCGGCTGTGGGCGGAGAGAACACCAGAGTCATCGCTGGACAGTCACTAGGTAAATGCAATGAAAATTTTCCCAATGAAAATCACTCTTCTGGAAAATCTTTACCATGGTTAATAAGATGGAATATACTGTCAATCTTTAGATCAAGGTGTCCAATCAAAGGGCTAACTGTAATATTCAAAAAATGGCTCGAGGGCCACATGCAGCCCCTAGACAACCTCTGAATGGCCCAGTCTGCAGTGATTTGAGAAATAATTTCCGCAGTAGCAAAGACCATAAATGCAACACCCTCTGTGGCCTAGAAACCTGAAACCCACTAAGTATGACTTGTGTGTCTGGAAGTGTCTGGTCCAAACAAATGTATAATTATCCAGGTCTTTTCTTATCAAATCTGGTATCTAAAGGTCACTATTATACACTAAGTTAAATTCACAGATAAAAACAGATTCATTTTAAGTCAACTTGAGTAAACACAGCACACTACAGTGACAGTTGGATCGACCAATAGGAGTCAGGTGAGGTTACTCACAACACAACACAGCTCTCTGGCCGCAGCATTTTGAAAAGTCATTCTGTCATATTAATACTGCCTTCTTCAAATGGCCGTGTGTCATCATTTGGATTAATTAATTCCAGGTCATAAATTGACTGTAACATTGCTGGCGGTATAATACACACTGTTTGATTTGATTAGTTCATTTTCAATCATGATGTGTTTACGACAGGTTTTTATGATACACATTATTACAGTAGCATTAGTAAAATCATTAATTGTTATTAAGTATGATAAACATATAATATATGAGAAAAGGGATGTGTCTCTAATTTACATTATGTTCTGATAAATAATCAAAGTCAAATTAAAGTCAGTCTAGATCTTGAAGATCCACAAGTCACAGCCACACAGTAAATTTCTTTCGAATGTACAGTAGTTGTAGAAAAGAGCGAGGAGTTTTTTTTTTTTAACAACGGCATAATTGTACTGTCATTTCTCAAATTTAGTCTTTATCAAACTGGCATCATTTTTATTTATTATATATGATAGATTTTTTAAATTTCTGTTGACTGCACATCAGATATACTGTACCTATTTATTTTTATTTGTAAATTTAATTAAGACTGTGCAGTTAAATGTTTTTACACACTGGACCTCCAACGCTGCTGTGTAGGCTGATGTGTTTTATATTGGAAACGTAGTAGTAGGCAGAAAACGACACATATTTAAATGTAGATTATTACAATTCTAAAAATGTACACAACTTACTGCTACATCCACAAAAACAAAACTAGACATACAGTAAAAATAAATTAGATAACAAATAGCTAATATTATGTTTAAGATTGGCTGTATTGAAAAGATAAAGTCAGCAGCAGCCATATTATCTGTTTATTGTAGTCGCACATGTTATATGTTAAATTAAAAACGGAAACTCGTATTATCCTACTGAATACGGTGGTTTTTATGACTTGTTTTTGGCCCTTCTACATTTAATCAGTTAAACACTAAAATAACTTTGAAATATAGCAGAGTAGTCCTTTTAAAAATGTTGAGATTGCAGATCTATGTTTTTAAAGGGTACAATTACAGTGAGTCTGCTGCAATGACAGAAAGTGAGGCTGAGCATAAAGATAAGAGTGAACAGTGAGAGGAGAAGAAACTCTGTCTGGGCAGCAGACACAGAGCGCAATGAAACAGCTCAGTCCTCGTAAGCATTCAGTGAATCCCTGTAAATCCTCCTTATATTACTTATTGATTAGGTCACAGCCCCCTCTATGGAAAATAAAAGTCTCACCCCGAGCCCTGCCGCTCATTAAATATAAATCAGGCTTCCACCAGGTCATATCTGTACATTGTCTACTTTTTCTGTGGCTCTTTTTTAAATTAACCATATGATAATAAAACTTTGGAATTGACAAAACAAATTTAAGTAGAGCTCAAGAGACATTGTCGAACATGGTTGTGGTCCCTGGATTTTTTTTTTGCTTGGAAAATATCACGTTTCCGACAAAAAAAAAATTGTATTGTCTACAGGGTCAGACGGTGAAAGTTTGAAGACGGTGTCCCGACACGAACTGTTTGTAAGACGTGGTGAGGTGCGCAGTCAGAGTGACAGATGTGTTCAGGGTAAAGGCTACATCTGATTAGAGACAGGTTTACAGATGAGTGCAAGGAAAAGTCTCAACAAACAATAATGTCTTCAGATATAATCTGCAGTGTGGAGGTTAAGGTTGGGATGGTTAGCATATGTGCAGGGAGGAGATAGTTGATATAATGAATAAAAGATGTTGGAGTTGGAACTGCCAAGCAGGGAGAAATAGAGGAGGACCCTGGAGAAGATAGAACATCGTGAGATATGAGAGGGAAAAGAGGCAGAAAATAGATTTTAGTTGGGGAAATCCTTACTCTGCATCTCTACCTGCTTCCATGTATTCTAGGCTGAGAGATCTCACTGTGTGGTGTTCACTTACTGCATTACTGCATGTGTGTGTCTGTGTGTACAGCCAGTTAGAAAGAGTGGAGACTGAGTTTGTGTGGCATTCGGAAAATCAATGAAAGCAGTTGAATCTAAAATCCTAGTGGGCACAACAGCATTGAGTACAGCACTCACAGTGATATGTTTCTGAGCAGTTTGTTTGCATACTGCAGCTGCACTGACTGCACTTCATTATATACTGTACATGTACACACTGGCTGTGATGGCTGTGGACGCACAACATAATTTAAGATATTAGCAAGTGGCGTATGTGTCCCAGACACAGAGCCACTGCCAGTTATGTCTCTACTTTGAAGGTAATTGTCCCGCTTTTATTCAGCTGCTTGTGTGAACTTTAACCCCCAATGTCTTATCTTTAAAACATGAACTCGGTATTTGATTAAACTCCAGAGCCATATTGCCGGAGGTGTAGGCAGCCTGCACGAGATGTGAATTCTTGATATTTTCTGGAGCCTTTTTGCTTTAAAAAAAAAAAAAAATAAATTAAATAACGCACAAAGGGAAACGTGAAGTTGGAATGTGAAAAGAGTAACAAGTGACAGCTGGGTCACAAGGTCAGATTAAAACCTGTAAAGTCCCGAGTTCACTGAGGGCTGATGACGTGCCTTTATGGATCCATGCTTGAGTAGCTTTAATAGATGTGAAACACTGAGGCTGTGGACGTTTAACTTACTTTTTTTACTTCCTTTGTGAGCAAGAATAAAAATAATTATATATATATATAGTTTAGATTGTTGATGCGTTTATTCTTTTGCTTGATGCTGAGTATTCCTGTTGGAATTTATTTTGATTTGGTCTTAGACCACCACTCTGTGGTTGATAGAGGTACTGCCAAACATTTTTACATTTTAAAATGTTGGTGACATTAAACGTTTATATGTTATGTAAAAAACAATTAATTAACCATACAAAAAATCTTAATTCTTAATAATTCATATTGAATTATGAATTTTATGATTTTTTTTTACCCTTTAATATACCTCAAATAGAATGTTACTGTTTGGGCAAAATTGTTTTTAAATTTTATAAGCTTTCCACAGACTAATTTTAAAAAGATGTGTTTTTCCCATAAGAAATAGGAAAACAATAGTTATATCCCTGTAACCTTGTACAATTAACTTGTTGTGAAAAAGTTTGTGTTACATTCCAGTAATTATATATTATGGCATTAGAATCTTCAGTGCTAACATGACGGAAACGTTGCATTACATTACATTACACACTTTTAAAACTGTATAGAAAAAGTGAACTAGATCGTGTAGCAGGCAGATTCTGGCCCACTAGATGGTGCTATAAGTACAGGTAGAATAGAATAGAGAATTCTGAAGCCCTATATAGAGTACTGCACTCCGTCCAGAGCTCACAGAATATTTAACCACATCATGCTTTTGTTATTACACGTAGCATTGATTAAGTGATAATTAATAGAAAAGAGATCGCCTTCATTCATGTTTGCCAGTTTACATATAAAACAACTAAAATATATTTTCATCATATTTTTAAAACACGTAAAGTCAGACAATGGTGGACATTAATTTCCAGTAATTAGCCTTGAGGCTGTCAGTAATTAACATGCAGACCCGCCTTCATTAGACTACACTGTAGTTCGCTGCCTTTTCAGAGAACAAAGAAGCACAGTATTAAGTATTAAGATGTCGTGCTGCATGTGTGACAGAGGCAAACCCCTGTGTCACTGTAATTAGATATTGCAATTACAAGGCCTTATCTATTAAAGAACCCAATTGTTGCAACAGCCAGGAAACCGGTACTCTGATGCCCTGCGGGCTCCTGGGTGCACGGCCTAGTCACTTCACTTTAAATTTAATAAAACAAGAGAGATGAATGGGGTCGGCGGTGGTGCAGAGCTAATTTGTTTCTCCAATAGGTAAAAGTCTGTGTTTCTCTGATAAGGTTCAACTAGTCTTTTCCCCCATCCACTCAATAACAAATGAGAGATAAAGCAGCGTGTGTCGACTGAAGACTGAAGAACTTTTATTACAGAGTGGCAGACACAGACGGCTAAGGCTCCATTAGGTTTGGATCAGATTGGTTTTCTTTGTTTGTTACAAATGTGGTTTTGAGAATAATTAGCTTTGGTTTTGTGCTTGAGTTATCAGTTGTTGTTTTGCTTTTGTTAGCTTCTAACAGTGAAATAAGAGACTATCCTACTGTATTATCTAACATTAATATGTATATATATATATATATATATACACATGCTATGTACGACATTATGTACATATATATTTTACATTTTTAACATTTAGTAAATGTTTGGCTGCGTTATGGGAAGTTCCAACTGCTAAGAGACGCTTGAGTGTTGGATGCTGGAGTTCCCCCTGAAACAGTTGAAGTAATGGTACGCTCTAAGGCTGGTGGTCCGCTGAGAATCAGGAGCACACTCAGTCTGACTTGTTTTTGGAGAGAGAGGAGAAGCAGAGAGGTGGTGCAAAGGAAACAGTATCTTCAGAGACACTGAATCTTCTCCAGTCATTTTTTCCTGCTGGTCATGACCATGTTTAAAGGCAGGCGTCGCTACCACAGATGTGAGTACTGTGATGTGAGGCATCAGTCACAGAAGAACTGATAATACTGAAGTTATTGACAGCTGTTCTGGTAGTTAGCATAAAAAAACCCAAAAAAGGACAAACTGAGATTGTCTTTCTGTTGCGTTGCATGATTTAAATAATGAATAAATAATGATAAAGTTGGTTAAAACAGGTTCTGCTTTTGGAGAGATGTATCTGTCTGTTACAGTGTTTGGATTTCTGTTGCCTGTAATTTGACACTCCTATCTTTTTCTCCATTTTGTATATGAGGGCTGTCAATCGATTGAATATTTAAACCAGATTAATCACAGGGTGGCTGTGGATTAATCAGGATTGATCAGTATTTAATCATCAGGTGTGATGAAAATGTATTTTTAAATGTGTATTACTGGAACTGAATGACATGTAGCAGAATGTTTTTGATCAATCAAAATAATGGCCAAGAAATATATGCAAGAGTATAACTCAAAGCCTACCAAAACTGGCATGACTATGTTATTTTTTTTATAGTGTTGATGGACTTTAGTCATTACTGTGCATCTTGACAGAGTCTTGTAGAGGCTTGAGGGTGTCTACCTACACTCACTGTATATCCAATAATGGCGATAAATATAGTTATTTAAAAAATAAAGTAAACTGAAGCTTTCCCAAGGTAAAGTCATCTTACTAATTAGCCATCCGCTTTTCTTGATGGTTGATGGTCGTTCTCCATCCTTTGGGTTGTATTACTGCCACCTACTGGCTAGCTGTTTCATTTAAAACCTTAAAAAAAACCATGCCACAACTACTTGAAAAATAAAGAAAATCATATGCTGTGAAACTCAAGACCACATACAAAAAGTAGAAAGTAGTTCATGTCCACACCAGAGATTCAGGGTTGGACCTGGGTTACAAGGCTTCAGTGTGTTGCAGTGAAGTCCTGGTAACTTGCATCATTAAATCACAAAATGCAAAAACAGGAAGAAAATGAAACGTGCAATAACAACTAAAGGAGGGAGATAAAAGCCTAAATTATCTGCCGGGGGCCATGGCAATAAGATTTCCATTGGATAATTCTTCCAGTCCAATATCTCTGTTATAAAAATCTAAAGCAATATGACTTGGACACTGCTTGACATATACTTGATAAACTGTGTTGAAATAAATGTGGTAGTGGGCATAGTACACTGCATTTTATGTAATTGTCCTGTGATTTGGTGAAAAGCCAGAGGTCACACCTTCAGACTGCTGTTCAATTACAAGTAATTTCATCCCATATTTCAATCAATTTAGGCCTACCCATTTCAGTAATCTATCTTTAAAATAGTCGGTATGAAGACCTTTGTTGCCATGGCAACAGTCTGTGACACCTGCTGACCAGTGGGAGCAGATGAACCAGAAAAAAGGGAAAGTGACCATTATTTATTTCTCTTAAAATGTTCTTGATATCTGGCAGATGATTTTGGCCACAACATTTCTTTCTGGTGTTTCCTTGAGGACAATACCTGTGGCTTCTGTAGTCAAGTTTAAGGGGTAGTTCAGGATCTTAATGCCCAGGGAGACGTAATAATATAATTTTTAAATTTAACATGGCTTTAGTCTAGTTGCACTTAAATTCATGTGTAAAACTAAAAAATATTTTAACTAGAATTTCCACCCCTGCAGAAGTCCTTTGGTGTGACTGTGTAATAGACTGTCTAAAAATCCTGTACATGTCATCAAAACCAGTGTTTTAATAATGCAGTGACTAAAGTGTGCAATCATCCTGACAAACACTGGCTCTGCATGCCCCTCACTCACCTGCCCCCCCCCCCTTTTTTTAGAAGTGTTATAAATTGGAGGGAGGAAGCAGCGTCTGACCTTGTGCCAAGATTGCAGATTATTCAAGTCATTGCTGTCATGCAGCCTGTTTTCCAGTCGCTCATTTGTATTCTCACAGGTGTCTGTGGGATCTCTTAATCGAATACCGTTCACCTCTTCTCGGTGTGCGTGCAACTGTAGAGATGGAGTTTGTTATCTGTCAGAGGTGATGGCTTGCCTTCAGTTGGGACATTAGTTTCAGGAAGGAAACGACCTGACCCATTATTTTCCCTTAGGCTAAATTAAGACTTTATTTGTTCTTGCTATTACAACAGGATAAACAGTGCAATAAACATTCACAAGAATTTAAATGTATTGGAATAATCATATTTAGATAGAGGCTGTGCTAAGCTTAGGAGTTCAGTCTAACCTGAATAGAAACAAACATCCAAGACAGGCTTTTAAAAAAATTAATTCCACTTAGCTTCATTAATGTCTCCTGCTCAACTCAACTATATTCTAACTGTAAAATATTCTTTTAAAGCACAGGGTTGCTGTTATTTTTTACATAATGAGGACAGGGAATGTAAAAAAAAATCAGACCTTACTGCCCTTTTGTTACTGATCCAAACAGATGACCAGAGGAGGAGGAGGCTTTTAGTCTGGTACAGTCCTTGCATCTTCCCAGTGAACACTGATAAAGATGCAGCTGTGTTTTTGTACCTGAGGGCGTCTCTGATACATTAGACCATTAGGGAGAGTGAAGAGAAAAAGATGAGGAGGAGAAAGACAAAAAGAGAAAGAAATGAAAAGTCTGGGTTGCATGCAAATGTGTGTGTTACTGGTATAGTTATACTTGAGAATAATACTTTGTACTCTGTACTTGTTGGTACATTTTGTAGGCTTGAGCTAAAGTATGCATTAAGATTAGACATTTATTTAAATTAGTCAAATGTTACGACAGGGGTCTGGGAAATATTCACAGAGAGTCGTGAACATATTTATATTGTTTATGCTGAGCAGTCATGCAGTAAAGTAAAAGAAAGAAAAGAAGAAGAAAATATGCAAATATCTACATCCAGACAAAATCATTCAGTATTTATTATGACTCACTCACTACAATCATATTGTAACCTGAAGTCAATAATGCTGCTGTACCTTAAGATTGCACACCTGCTCTTGAGTTAAGAGGATGTCCTTCTTTTTGTTGTTTTGCTGTTTGAAAGCATGGCTTATCTGCCATCTACTTATAATATGTGGTCTGATGTAACACAGCCATCAAACAGAGTGTGGGGGATACAGATGAGTCACACAACTCTGCTTATACCTTGAAGGAGATTCGTTTTTTCTCTCAAGGGCATTCTGTAACCTAAAATCACTCTCTGCAAATCTGCATCTTTTATACTCTGAGTCACTGAATTTGAATTTATTGCTTCTGTTTATCTGGTTTGTCTGTCGCTCTTTTTCGCAGCATAGCTCATGATGCGTTTCAACAGAAAATCCATATATTTTCATATATGCGCCTTTTTATTTTTATTTTGCAGATGTCAACATGGCAGGAGAGCCAAAACCATACAGGTCAAAGATTGGCTCCAAGAGGCCTCTCTCATCACTCTACAGGTTGGTTTTCATATAGGAATGTATAAAAGGAAAGGGATTTTCAAATAATTAAATTCAGGTTCAAACAGATATGAAAGCATTGCTTGCTGAAGTGAAATGTTGTAAGACAACAATGGTTGAAGAAAAACATTTTAAAATCATTTTGGCAATGTATAAATTTGAAGATCGTTTTTGTAAAATCTGCAAAAACACTCTCCTGGCAACTTGATTGCTATGTTTTAATAATATAGTAATTTTGCCATAACTAAATTACAGTTTAAGCAACAACCAAAGATTTCTATTTTTATTTTCACAGTGGCTATGAGTTTGACTATGACTACTACAGAGATGATTTTTATAGCAGGTATGTAAATACTACATTGTCAGAGCTAATGTTATTGTCATACTATATTTACTTTCTCTACATTGGTTTATTCATGATGCTTTTACCTGCATAAACAAGTGCTGAATATCAGATGCTCAATGGAATTCTTCCTTCTGATGTTTGCATTTTATTTAATATTATTATTTCTTCTGTTTAATAAGTTCCTCCAGAGTTCAGAATGTAAGCTTTGAGTCATTATTATTATTATTATTCCTTTGCAGTTCATCCATTAGCAGCTTTCAAAAGAGCTTTACATAACATCTTAACAGCAGTAGCAAAGACAAACTATAGCTTACTCTATAGTGATTCCAGAATTAAGCTCCATTTTCCTCTTTCCATTGTCTGTCTTTCCAAAGTTGTTATGTACATTTTACTGTAGTTTTCATTGTTCCGTTACGTCTCCAGACTTCTTGAGTACCATGGTCGTGTAGTTCCACCATCCCGGACTGTGATCCCGATCAAACGCTCTCGACTAACTGTGCCCTCAACACGCAGAGTCAAAACCTCCTTCTCATTGAGAGCTTGCTCTTCCTCCTCTTCTTCTTCTTCTTCCTCTTCTCGAACTTTCAACACTGGCTCTTCAACCAAAGGTCCTAAATGTAAGTATCTCCTTTCTTATAACAAAGATGTGGTGATTCAGCTGGAAAAGGAAAAATAGACATTGTTAAATGTCTGTGTATGTTTTAGGTTATCATTTTAATTTTAACGTGAAATTTTGAAATTCCACGACTAAAATAATTGGGGATTCTGATATTTAATTGCACACCTGTCTGAAGTCATCACTAGGTTGGCAAAGCATCAATTTAATTGTCCTTCACCATCTAGACTTCATAAACAGTGAATTGTTGATAAAGAAAACAAGCCAAAATATGTGGTTCAGACTTAAAAACGTCCTTACGTCTGTCTCTGTCTCTCTTCAATGTGTGGCAATAAACTTAGAGTTCCGGCAATGTCCTGGTGCTGATCCGAGCATCAGATTTACTATGCTTTTCAACTCCTTTTTTAATGTATGCTGACAGTGAGGACAGACCAGCTTGTTACAATCAAGAAGGAGCTGTCACACATCAAGACCAAGATAGATTCACTGCTGGGAAGGCTGGAGAGGTTTGATGGGCAACATCACACTGACACTGGTAAGATTGTGTAGAGAGGAGGCTGGAGGGACTGTTTAATGATGGAGCATGCAAACATAGAGGAGATCTCTGAAGAGAAGATCATAAATGTATTTAAAGCATACAGTGCCTGGTCTGCAGGAATACTCACTTCAGTAAATCAGTGATATTTTGCCAGTAATTGCCCATTTTAAGTTTGCCCTTTTTTTCAGAGGTGCAGAGGAAACAAGAGGAGATGTGTGAACGTCTCCATGGTGACCGCTGTGGTGGAGTGGAGGTGGATGGTGCAGACGATGTGGAGGCAGGGGAGATGACGGATGGTGGTGGTGACGAATTTGAAGATGTAGCCACCAGTGACATGGTAAGGAGGCCAAGTCATTTCATCACTGTCATATAGGAGTCAGTATTACTTAGTTTTATTCCTGTGTGACGCTGCTATTGGAAGCCATCCAGGGACATCACTGTCCTCCTGTAACCCCATACTGTACAACTACTGTACATATTTAAAAGATATTTAGTTTTTATTGCTGTACCTTTATCATAATCTAACTCTTCTTGCATTGCAGATAGAGAACCATATATCGGATGTTGACAATTAAATCAGGTCAGTATCTAAGTGTAGTATATAACACAATACTGTTTTAAATTGTAAATATAAGGGAACAAACCAATTGCTGTCAGTTGGTGTCTCAGAGAATAGAGTAAGCGTAAAGAAATGATGTTTGCAGAAGTTCAACTTGGAGGAACAGTTACCAGCAGAACCTTCTTCAACGATAAGGGGTTAAAGAAAAGAAAGGACTGTTTTTGAAACTATTATGTTCAAATGTTCCTCATTGGAATATAACTTTCCTAATATGTACTTGCTGTATATTGACATTGACATGCTAAAAAACTACAAAACTCCGAACCTTTACGTATATTTGTGTCTACTATATTTTAGTCTGTTTTATGTATAAAATCTGATAATGTGATCAAGCAGATAAATTATAAATGCCCGCCTTTGTTGTTCTGCAGATGTGTGTGTGTTTTTTTCTCTTTCTGTGCATTAAAAACTGTGATGACCCCTGACACTGGCAGGAAACAAAATATGAATGTATGAGGAGAATCTAAATTATGTGCTTTGCTTTTTTTCTTTTAGTATTTTGATGAAATGTATAAAAAAGTAATTTATTCACAATGTCTCTTACTGTTGTCTAGACTTTGGTTTGTCACTTTTCACTACAAATGCAATTTTAAATTGTGTTCCTGTCAATTGTATGATGAGTATTTTTACTGAGCATGATAAAAGAACATGTAGCAAATGTGGGTTATTTGTACTCATTGCATCTTTTGCAATTATTGTTTAAACACTTTTTAAGCAAACCCATTACTGCTAACAAAACATGTGTGGTGACCTAATTTAAATTAGAAAACATAAAGAATGGTAATATGGGGCTTGACTGATTGGCACAAAAACTGACTACCGTGCAAGAATGACAAAACAGTAAAGTCGTCGTGGTCATTTTTGGTTATATTGTAGTTGAGAGAAGCAGTATTGTGTTTCGGCAAAAGAGATAAAATGTTTTGGATCGTGTAGTTAATTTAATTAAAGAACAGCTGCAAACATCTGGCCAGTTCTGTGAATATGGGTAAGTCTGTTTGTAGGAAAGCGAACATTTAGGGTTTTTTTTTTATCTCTGGTTGATAATTATTCATAATCAATCATATGAATTTAATATATAAATTAATAATAAAATGTATAATAAATTCTTATTTTCTGATGTATTATGTTACTTCCTGAACAGAAGTCTCAGTGCCCCGGAAGTTGCCGTTACCCTGTCCTGTTTATCTTCCATGTAAACAGGAAGTCAAGAAGCAGCCATTGAAGCGCGTAGTTCAATTCGACCAGGGATGCAATTCAGCTACGACAAAACGTAAAGTCGTAGTAAATCCTTGCGGTATGGAAAGCACTTTGTTTATTGTTTGAATAAATATTATGAAGCGGTATATTTTTTTTAACAGTTCGACAGAAGACACATCGGAATAGGTACTTTTGTCGTTGCCCATAAGACGTTTTGATTCACCGTCGGTTAGCTTAGCTAACAGTTAATAGTGTTTGTTAAAGACCGTCGTTACTTTTCTGTCGCTGTTATGGGAGACGGTGAGCTGAGTCTCATTGACAAGAATATAAAAAGGTAAATATATATGCTTTCATTTTTATTGTATGTTTCAGTCATAAGTTCTTAAAGTTCTTACACACTGTGAGTAATGTTTGAAGCAAGCTATTAGCAGGCTCGGCTAACTGTCGTTATGGGCAGTAGTATCTTGAGAGTGCAGAAAAACAAGTTGATAAAAGGTAGATTACATTTTCAATAACAACGATATGCAATTATTGAAAGATTTTTTATAGCAGCATCTCTGAAAATAAAAACGAAACAATTGTAAAAACAAAATGGATATTTTGTTATTCTATTTTGCTAAATCTCTTGTATTATTTCTTTACATTTTCTCTAGTTTGCTGGATATTCCGCTGAGTCCTACAGTGACATCAGTCAATCTGCACTGTAATCACATCCCAAGAATCGAAGGCTTAACTTCAGCTTGGCACCTGCGGCACCTGGACCTTTCTTCCAATTACATTTCTAAGATCGAAGGTCTAGTTTCTCTTACCTCTCTCAGGACCTTAAATTTATCTTGTAACCTAATTACAAAGGTTGAAGGTGAGTCTCTAATCTCAATTTTATCTTTAATTTGGATAATAAAAAAATCGATTGAGTTCCCATAGTAGTACGTTTTAATTATTTGCTTTTGTGTTTAATCTGATTGCTTTTACAGTTAAATGAGCCCCATAATCGCTCAAATTTTAATACCCTTTTCACTGTACATTAGGTTTAAATGGCCTTGTGAACCTAACAAGATTAAACCTCTCCTACAATCAAATAAATAACCTTACTGGTAAGATCAAAACTGCATCAATGTTTTATATGTTTTACTGACTGATTAAAGATCAGTCAGTATTTTGATATTGCTGTTGATTTCTGCTTTTTACATTAGGGTTTTTGTATCTTAATGACACAAAGTACAAGCTGAAGCACCTCAGTCTCCATAGCAACAACTTGGACTGCATTGATCACCTGCTGCAGTGCCTGCTGGGATTGCAAAGCTTAAGAGAAGTCACTTTCAGCCAGGATGGCAGTGACAACCCTGTGTGTAGATTAAAAGGTAAGAGAAAATAAAATACTGGATAAATGCTGTATTTGAAAACAGTCATCGAAATCACTTTTCTAATTATGTGAACAAGAAAAACAAATGAATGAATATTGTATTTAAATGAATATTGTTTTCCTGAGTTTTTGTAAGCATAAATGCTGCAACCCTCATATATAAAATAAATTTGTCAGTCAACCAAAATTCACCTGTACAGATCTTCAGAACATTTCTGTGTATGTCTGCTGATGATAAACAAAAAATGTAATGTAGAGCTATTTTAATCAATTTTGTCATGCTCCAATTTTTCCATTACACAGGATACAGGGATATTGTCATACAGTCTTTACCGCAAATCTCTGTCCTTGATGGCCTAGATCGACTTGGAAATCTATCACATCATGGTCTAAGTAGTCCCTGTGACATCCCTGGTCTGGAGAACTACGTGGACCTCCTTCTTTCCTCAGATACAAGCCACAGTGAAATTGTAATTGTTTGAATTTTATATAGATTGAAGACTGATTAAAATGTTAATCTAAAGATAACTTAATCTCAAACCGCTATGTGGATTTTGCTAAGGTAATATATCATATTAACAAAACTAACATTATTTCTCCCATGGCAGCCAAGAAATGAAGGACATATCATCACACCCCAAATCGACAGAGTTCTGAATCATTTTCATCAGAGGATCTGCAATGTTACTAGTCCACCCGTGCAAAAATCCCATCAGGAGTTTCACACACTGAATGAAAACCCCAATAATGAACAACGTCTGAGGAAACTGGAGCACCAGGTGTCCCAGCTCATCGAGCAGGTGCTCTCATGAAAACACCAAATGCCTACAAGTCAGTTATTTAGATAAGAAGTAACTGTGTCATGGTTTTCTTATTAGGAATAATTATTTTAAATTTAAAAGATTATTTTGTACTACTTGTACTAGTGACTTTACAGTGCCTTTGGTGATTTGAAGTGTTCACTGTTAAACCGGATAGATAAATCTTACAAAGTATTTCTGTCCAATGATGTCAGGTTCCCACCAGTGACAAATCCACTCCCTCTAGTAAACCTTTGGTGACATCACGAAAAGTTAAACGAGTCACTGGTCGCACCTCAGAGAGCGAGTGTGAAAGTGGGAAGGAGAACAAAAACAGCAGGATTCCCAGACGTCGTACCAATGTAACAACAAGGGTAACTGGCAAGGAGATCAGGAACAAACCAGATAGGTAAATTTTAACGGTTCAACCGTCTTTTATCTTTAAGCATCTCTCAATGTTTAGTTCCATTCAAAAAAGTTTAAAAGTGCTGCCTGAGACGAATTAACTACCATGCCTTTGCTGTTGTGTGCAGTCCTGACAGAACTGGAACAACAAGGAGTGAACCTTTAAGATCCACCAAAGTATTAGACAATGTGGGAAAGAAGTCTGCTGAAGAGGTGGAAACATATAGGGTAAAATATAGTCATTACTACACCTTTGTAATACATAGTTTTATATAATATGTTAATTTAAGTTCAGTTGGTAATTTGTCCTGGAGTTGATTGCCCCTAATGGAAGAGCACAGCTAAATGTACTAAGGGCAGATTGAAAAACGTTTGTTTTATTTTTTGCCTGTAATCATTCTTATACATCAACATAAAAACACAGAAAGTGCAAGGCACCACTTACAGCAGGGTAACAGCTATTGAATATGATCGGTTATGTTGTCCACATGTTATATTTTAGCATACTGACTTTGTGACATCAAATCAAATGTACTTATGCAGTTTTAAACAAGTCTAATACTGTATGTTTATCTAATGTTCACAGTTTATTCACATGTTATAATGTAAAAAATCCCTATCTGTATTTTTGCCAAATTCAGGCTATTGTTGAGGAACGTGATCAAGAGAGGGAGAGGCGTTGGAAGGCTGAACAGGCTGTGAGAAAACTCACTGAGGAGTTAAAGTGCCTGCAGACAAAGGTCTGTGAGGAAAAAGACATTCAAAGCATGGCAATGCACACAACAGACAGGTAAGAGGGAAACAGCAGATATGTTTATTGTCAGATTAACTTCATCTGAATAGATTTGACTGGTCAACTTCTTAATGGATTCTTATCTTTTATCCATTTTTATCCTTTAAATATTTTATGTTAGCTTTCCTCAGACCTTTATCATTGTTATGTATATGGAAACACTTTCTCTGCATTTGCATTTTATTTTTCCTTTTTCAAAATTCTGGAAAAGAGAAATACATCCAAGGTATCACATCTGATTTTTTTTTCACACATCCGTGTCATCATTTTCCTTCCTTACAGACTGAAAGAAGTATTGCTGAAGGAGCGATCAGGGCACTGTGAACTGCAGTCTCGTCTAGAGCAGCTGGAGGGGAGGTGTCGGTGCCTAACCCAGCAACTGGATAAGGCCCGAGGCAGTGAAGAACAACATAAGACTGCACTGAAGCGACTGGAGGAAAGCATTTCTCATGGAGAGGCACTCCAAGTTTGCCAGCAGGCAGAAGAGGTAGATTGGCTGGTTCGGCTTACCCAAAACACCTTGTTCTGTGTTTTTTTATTTTTATTTTTTTGTATTCAGTAGTTAGAGTAAATGTGTGCCTACCACATTTATGTTACATGCCTTCACTTCCTTCCTTCCTTGGTACATGAAAAATCCCTCTTGCAGTTGGGCAAAGAATTCTCTCACGGCAATATAATGATGTACTTACAGAAGAAGCATTATCAGGAACTGGAAAACAAGGCAGCAGCTCTGAAGAGGGAGTTAGACATTCAGAGAGTGTCTGTTCGCCAGCACAAGGACAAAGTGCAGCAGCTTCAGGAACTGCTTGCAACAAGGGAACAAGAACACAGGTACATTTGAAGAATCTCTCAGAAAACCTGCTGAATAAATATAGAAAAATATAAATCACAACCAGAATTTAGGAATTATTGGTTAGCAGTGAATCAAAGAGCTTGCCACATATACATGTTTCTCTACTTGTAATTAAGTGATATTACAGTATTGTATACTGTAAGCATCTGGTGCTGTTATCGTACTGTTATATATTGTTTTGTAAGCTGTGTAACACAGCTTTATCTCTTAGTGAAATACAAGTCTTCTGTACATTCTTCCTCAGAAAACAGTTGGATTTGCGTATGCAACCTGATGGGGTGGACTTTCGTGAGGCAGTGGCAAAAGAAGTTGCACTGTTCAAAGAGCGACACACTCGCAGAGAAGTGGAGCTGCAAGAAAAATTGGCTGAGGGCAGAAATCAGTACACTGCTCTGGAGGATGAATTCCGCATGGCACTGACCATTGAGGCTTCTCGCTTTTCTGAGGTCTGCAGAAATATGGATTACATATACCCTGGAATTTTATATATTGTCCACTGATTTGTTGATGAAGGACTACTGTATCCACTAAGAAGTGACATGATTGAACTGGAGATGACCACCATCTCGCTACAATCGATTGACGTTTTCCCCACTAATCGTAAAAGCTAAGAATAAATTACGATCATTTGTCTGCAGGCAGTTGGACTTTGATTGCCACAGGAAGAAAGTTGTACAAAGAGATTAGATTCTGATTAATATATTTTCTTGTCAGTTTTGTTAGCCACTCCCATCACCTTCACAGAATATTTTTCTTGATTGCCACAGCTTGTGGTCTCCTGATAAAAAGCCAGACTTTTGCCCTTAGAGAAAAGTGAGATTCAGATTGCCAGCCAAACGGTCACTCATGAAAACCTTTAGAAACTCCCTTCTCTAAGTTTGTAACATCAGAACCTTTTACAAGATCAAAAAGTGAGGTTGAGTGATTTCACTGTCGAGTCTAAGTTTTGGTAAAAGCCAAACCAATGCTCTTTAACTCTGCACCTGGTAAATTACCATTCAAATTCAGTCATGCTCTGTGTTTGCAGGTGAAGGGGGCTTATGATCAAGTGAATGTAGAGCTGATGGCACTCAAGGGAACCCTGGTCCAGTCCCAGCAAATGGAAAAGAAATCAGGCTGTCTGGTGCAGGAGCTCACAGTCGTCGTCAAAGAGCAGAAGAAACGAATCTCCGAACTCGTCAGATCAAAGAGAGACACTGTCACTGACTTAAAGGTACTCCGCAGTGCATGGCAGCTTCTTATTTACAAAAAATTCTCCTTAGAAATACAAATAAACTAAAATCATAATTTCAGTTTGTTCCTTTAGCTGCAAAAAAATACAAATAATAGACAGTACGTTTACTAACTGATCTATCTCTGTTTGTTAAGAATTATTTTTAATTTGTCTTCATAGAAATGAGTAAATCACCAAACAACAAATATTACTTTTCGCTGCATTTTAAGTAAACTGGGTTTCCTTTAACTTGGCTTTGTAAAAATTTGTAGCAAATACCCTTACATGTGGTTTCAAAAAACACAGTCTGAAGAAGACTGACTACTGTTATACAATAATAATCAAATCATTCTGCTTCTCCATCTTTCAGTGATGGTGTTTGTCAGTTGCCTAAACATCATCTGTTGCCCTTTGACAGAGTCGTCTGCGTTCTTTGGAAGAAGAGTTGGAGAAGGATAGGCGTCTCGGCGTGCAACTGGAAATGCTTAGAAAAGACAAGGCACGTCTGTTTTCCCAACTCACAGCACAGGAGTCGGTGATTGATGGCTTGAGGGCAGAGAGGCGACTCTGGGGCCAAGAGCTCGCTCAGCAAGGTTGGAAATTTCAGGGATGACTGTAAACACTTTGAAACAGTTTTACTTTGTGTTGCAGACACTGTTGATCTGCTTAAGACTTTTAGTTGTTGCATCTGGGTTGCAAACCAGCCATTGCAGATTCTGATTTAGTGTCAGAGTGATGAATGCATTGTTTCTTTACCTTACTTTAATTATTGTGCTTTCTGTGAGGAAGGAACCTGTGGTTTGTGGTCATTAGGTACATACACTTGGTTAATTGATCTCCTTATACTTGTTTATATTTCTCTGATAGGTGCATCCTTAGCTCAGGATCGTGGACGTCTGGAGGCTAGAATAGAGGTACTGAGCACTGAGTTGGAGACACAGAAGAAACAGAATGAAAGTGAAAATGCTTCCCTCAAAATTAAAGCTAAAATCATTGATGACCAAACAGAAACAATCCAAAAACTCAAGCAGGTACAAATAAAAATCTATTTATTTGTGTTTTTTATTCAAATGCTTCAAGTCCTTTTATTTTGTTGATATATGTATTTCTTTTTTCTTATATATATATTTTTTTTTCACAAACCTGCTGTTTAGACTTTGCTGGAGCGAGATGATAGGATTCGGAGGCTGACGGAGGAGACAGCACAGGTGCAGAAGAGACTTCAGCAGCAGCAGGAGGAGTTGACAGAGCAGCAAGAACATCTCAGCTTGCGAAAGGAGGAGCTAAAACAACACTTGGAGGACAAAGAGGCTGAACTTGAGGAGGTCAAGAGAGTTTACAGGCAAGGGCCTAATTACAATCTCATTACAGAGACGAGGATGATGATGCAAAAATGTGTTAATTTTCAGCTGCTACAAATTTTAATGTCTCTTTGTCTCTGTTTTTAAAGAGATTCAAACACAAAGTGGCAGGAGAAGACAGACCTGCTGACTCAGTTGGAGAGCCAGGTAAAACGCATGAAGGAGAACTTTGATTCCAAGGAACGCCTGTTGCTGGAAGAAAAGGATAAAGCAACAGAAGCTCATAAGTATGTAAAACTAACTAATTTAATGTGTGTGTATTTTTTATATATATATATATATATAATTTCATAAAAGTTATGAAAGTAACTTTTATGGTCAACACAATCCAAGAGTTATACAAAATATATTTTATGTGTAATCTGCCCCTGCAGAGCTGCTGTTGAACGGTTGCGCTGTGTGGATGATGCTTTTCGGCGACAACTGGAGTCTGTCCAGGCTGCACATCAAGCTGAGCTGTTTCGGCTAGCAAATGTAAAGCAGAAAGAGATCGAACAGGCAAATGAAAAGGTAAACAATAGACCTGTAGATTTAACAGCATTTACTCGAGGTTACTATTTTTGTGATGCTCAATTGATATTTTTGCCATATACAAAATACATCCAACTTTTATAAAGTTCCTTGTCATTGCACTTATTAAATAATCAATTTTGATTGAAATATATCTAATATGTCCTACATATTTTAAATATAATTCTCTATTGAACAGATATTTCACAACATTGTTAATGGTGTCAGTAATCAACTGTTTCAAGGTTTCTATCTCAATTATTATAAAGTTTTACACACTGAAAAGTTCTTCACTGAAAACCCACTTTTAGAAGCTAAAGGTTGGTCATGATTTCTCCATTTTTAAAGCCAGTAACATTTTCAATGTAACATCAATAATATCTGTATTTATTTTTAAATGAATGTATTTGATGTCCTCAGGTGTTTGAAGTGGAGGAAGAAATGCGCCAGCTTCTGAATGAGACAGAGACTAATAAGAGAATAATGGAGGAAAAAATGAAACGACTTACAAGTGTACTAAAAGACTTTTAATCCATCCAATGTCATACATTTTGCAAATACATATACTGTAGATACAACTTAAGTAGAATTACAATTTTATATAATTTTAATATAAAATTATTTATCAAATTAAATATTGCTGCCAGTCTTTATTGTTATGAACTGAAAAAATGATACATGAATGGGAAAAAAACGTGAGAAAGAAATAAAGGGCAAGAGGAAGGAAAGTTCCTCGTAGACGAGAGAAATATTAAAAGTAAAGGGAAAAGCCATGCACTTGTAAGGGTTTAATAGAAGAAGAAAACCCCATAAAGCACATGCAGGTGGAAAGGAACGAAATAAGGAAACAAGTCAGGCAGGTTTGGCTGAGGGACTGTAGAGTTGCCATGGTAACTTCACGTAACGTCCGTTGCTTAAAAAAAAAGAAACCTACTCTAGTCACTGGGTTGATGGACAGCGTGCGCTCGGTGAAGGTAACACTGAGCCCGAATGAATGGACAGAGAACTGTTCTCAGTTTGTGGGCGACCAAAGACTGAGGACTAACTTTTAGGAAGAAGATGGAGTTTGAGACGAAGGAAACAGTCCGCTTGACTCCGAGTCGACACGAGAAAAGTTTGGGGTTGCTGACAATGAAGTTTGTCGGTCTGCTCCAACAAGCCAATGACGGCGTGCTGGATTTAAAAGTGGTCAGTGATACATTCTATTAAGTGTAAATATATATATATATATTTTTTCATATTACAAACGATAACCGTTTTGTGCCTCAGGTCAGTTAGGTGCACTGATTTGTTTCAACAGGTGGGCTAGCTGGCCGCCATTAGCCGGGCTGGCTTTGTTAACGTGCGATGTTTCGTTTGAAAAAAATAAAAAAAAAATTTAACCACGTAAGGTCTTATTTTATTCTCATATGTATAAATGTTTTGTATAATTTTTTACTAGTTCTCAATATTGTCCAAAACAGTCCTAATAAGAAATTGCTTCGGTTCTGACGTTCGTTGTACGCACAAACCTGATTACAGTGGGTATTATTAACCAGAATAGTATATAAGTATTGCTATATTAATGGGGACATTATTGGTGGAAAAAACCCAATTTGTATACCAAATATTCTATTCGTAAAAATAATTAGGCTGTAATACACTCTTCTACACAGCTGCATAACGTTTTCTGACCAGTAGATGTTGCTAAACTATACACTTATTAAATAAAGGTTGAACGTCTGTGTGTTCGGCAGAACTCAGTTCCATGGAATATCTTTATATGAATATACTGTATATTATAAAGTAATTTTGAATTCTAAATTTAATTACTTTTCCATGAGCCAATTTTTTTTCATTGTAATCTATTTTATCCTGTGTTATTTATGACAACAGTGATGGCAACCACTAATGGTGTATGACTAATGATGCTTGTGCTGGTTGGTGCTGCCTCTGGTGTCAACTTAAACTTGTGTATATTCTGCAATCCATACCTTCAGAGTACTTAGTCGCTTTAAAAAATGTCTACCGTTACATCACCAAAAGCTTGACCTATCATTGCTGTTTGGACTAAATATCGTCCTGTTAATTAAAAAGCATAAAACATAATACCACATTAAACCCGAGTAAAATCAACTGACACATTCCTTTTTATTAAAAGTTTCTATTTTTTCTCCTATATGCCACATAAGTGATAGATGTGTCTATGCAGCTTTAGCACCCCTACCTGAGGTGGTCTTCTCCAGACATGCATTTCTGTCTTTGCGATTAATTGTAGTTTTCCCTCTCTTCTTGCGCGCCAAAGCTGGCTAATGTTTACACAGCAGGACACAAAACAATGTCCCTCCTCCCTCTGTTCTCTTAAGTCTCCCTTTCAGCCAGGAGCATTGATTAGCTGCCTCTGCAGCTTTAATTTGCAAAAGCTTAATTTGCTGGTTTAATTGCTCACTCTGTTTCTCGTTGTTTAATGTTGCTTCTGCCGCATAATTGTTTTATTTTTCTGCTACTGCCTGTCCTATTATCTTTTTCTTGAGTACCTCTACAAGAATGCAGAGCATTTTCTTATACTGTTCTTTAAATGAACAGGCAGCAGACAGCCTGGCAGTAAAACAGAAGAGGAGAATATATGACATCACCAATGTACTCGAAGGTGTTGGACTGATTGAGAAGAAAAACAAGAATATTATTCAGTGGAGGTTTGAATACATTTATTTATTCTATTTTAGAATTTTTGAATGTTTCAGAGATTAGGCTGCCACCAGGCTGTATTGTTTGAAAACTACAGTCATTTTTTCTTTTCAACTACACTGATGCAACTGTTATCTTTGTGTCTCGTCGTTGTTGTCCAGGGGGGAGAACACAGGCAGCCAGACTCAGGAAATGCTGGACCAGGTGAATAGTTTGAAGGCACAGATCTCTGAGCTGGACGCACAGGAGAAAGAACTGGACAACCAGAAGGCCTGGCTGGAGGACAACATCAACTACCTAAACCACGACCCTATCAACAACATATATCCTTCTTTTAAATACTTAATGGTGTTTTACTTTTAGTCTTCAACATCTTTATTTATATCTAACTGTATGCACATAACCTAAAATGCTTAAAATGTCCCTTCAGGTCTCTTCAGTGCTCAGTTGGAGCACCACTGACTCCTCCTTTTATTGTAGAATGAAATGAAACCACATA